GACAGTTCCTTCACATTTACAGCGGTTGAAACATTGTATCTATTTATTTCCGAATAAAAACATCTGTATCCTAAATGGAAATAAATAGATACAATGTTTCAACCGCTGTAAATGAACTGTCAGAACTGTCAGAAATAGCGGAGCTCTCTGCAGTGACACTTTTGCCGGCTGATCGGGAAAAATTTGATTCGTGCACCCGAAGTTTGCTAAAATTCGGATTCGATGCGAATCGAATTTTTCCTGATATTCGAAACTAATTCCACTTCGCCAGGTTCGATTCGCTCATCTCTAGTCATTACAAAGGACAAGGGGGAACTCTTTGTGTTTGGAAAAAAAGAAATTTAATCTCCATCACAAACGTCCTTTTCACAGTAAGAGCTGTGAAAATCTGGAATAGACTCCCTCAAAAGCTGGTTCTGCACAGTTCAGTAGATTGCTTTAACCCCTTGGTGCTGAGCAATTATAAAAATTAGCAGCCCCACTGGACTGGGCTTTTGTCCGTGGGGCCACTAATTTTTGTACCTGTATTTGTGCTGGGAGCGTGCCGCACTGTGTCAGTGAGAGCCCCGAGTCCCGTTCTAACGATTGAGACCCAAAACTCCCGATTCCGGGTCACATGATTGCTATGAAAGCCTCTGATTGGATATCACAGTGATAAGTCACTGTAAAGCCCACCCCCCTTGTTTTCTCTCTCTGAATGGAGTAGAGAGATACATTGTATCTCTCTATGTCCTTTCAGAAAGAAACACAGTGTTTGTAAAAAAAAAAATTGAAAGTAAAAATAAATAAATAAATACAAATAAATAAAAAAAAAAATACTTAGATCACGGTTTGATCTAGGTCAGTGCCAGCGTTTGGGTTAAGGTCAGGGTCAAAAGTCAGGGTCAAGGGTCAGGGTCAGTATCTTTTTTGTGTCTGGATTTTTTTTAAAATTTTAAATTAGTATCAGTGTCAGTTAGTGGCAGGATAAAAAAAAGTAAACTACGGGTACAAACGGGTAAACAACAAACATACACAGGTGGTATCACTGCAATCCTCAGGAGGAGGAGGAGAAATTATTTTGGGTTGTTCTTTGGTGGTTGGTTATGGTAGTAGCAAGAAATATACAACTAAATGTAAAAAAATGTTTTTTTTTTTACTATTTCAGGTCAGGTGTCCTTTGATAAAAAAAATAAAATCAGAAGATATCAAGTACCATTTACCACCAAATGAAAGCTCAATTTGTCCTGAAAAAAAAACAAGGTATAATCCACCTGGATGCACAAAGTAGTTGTGATGATATGTACTTGTGCTTAGGCTTTAAGATTTGTTTTACCCTTAACAGTGAAGGGGTTAAAAAGGCCTAAATGCATATAACTGGATACTAACATTTATAGGTAAAGTTGATCCAGGGAATATCCGATTGCCTCTTGGGGGATTAGGATGGAATTTTTTCCACTGCTGGAGCAACTTGGATCAAGCTTTGCTGGGGTTTTTTCGCCTTCCTCTGGATCAACTATGGGTATAGGATTGGAATTGTATAATTTTTTTTCTCTCTTTTTACTGGTTGAACTAGATGGACTTGTGTTTTTTTTCAAGCAGACTAACTATGTAACTTTGTAACCATCTGTTCTAGTGACAACTGAAAAATAGTAGATTTCTCATCTTTTTATTTCATTTCTGTGACAATCGTCTCTAGGACAAATAGAGGTGGTAAATCTGCCCAACAGGGATGTATACTACCATGAAAATGTTAGGGGAGTAAAACCCTTTCCCACTCTTTGTAAAATTTAAAAAAAAGTTTAACTTTAGACACGGTGTAAGAATAATCTATGTCTTTGTTCCCTAGGGGCATACTACAGTGTATGCTAGTGCGAGGGCCATGTTTATCTGTACTAGGGTGACAGGTGTTTGGGTGTATCCCCGTGCAGGAAGTCCCATTGATGTAATTTGGGATGCAGTGGCTGTACAGACACAGACGTTGCTCTCAATTTGACATTCATGCAAGTGCACAGCCCTGAACGCATACTTACATTTGGGGCCGTGCACCCTTACCTGGACAGATGTTAAATTTGGAAGTGCGGCTAGGTCTGTCCCAAATAGCATAAATAGGACTTCCTGCACAGGGATACACAGAACACCTGTGTATCTCTATGCAGGTAAACGTAGCCGTCACACAGACTTATACTCTAGGATCCCCAATGTGAACAAGGCCTAAGAGGCATTTCAAACTGGTCTCCAGTGCACATTGAATGCACCAGAAAGTATGCTTCATTTACCTATCTACACTTGTTCTAAACATACAAAAATCAGGTGATGTAATCTATGGCAATCAACCAGAATCTTTTCTAACTGTTCCTACCACTCCAAATTTATGAAAAAGTTAAATATGATCGATCATTATGCGTAAATGCACTTCAATGGCCTGTTAAAGTTTTATAGACATATCTACCCTCACACTGTGTTTGTTGGTTTTAATGCAACAAATGCCATTTGAAGGTATGGAGCTCTTTTGAGACCCATACAAAAGAGCCAACAAGAGCTGCATGAACATCACTGTAAAAAAAGACACGGTGCCAAAAAAAAAGTATCCATGCCAAAGGGTTGACATTGCTGAGCCTGGATTCCAGATTTGTAGAGACCTGTATACTATATACCTATCTAAGCCTGTATACTATGATGTATACTTGCAATAAGGTTTAACATCTGACTGAGTGATATATTTTACCGTACATGATTGCCCATCAGTATTTTATGGTTGTAACCAGTTTGGGAGTATGTGATAAAGAAAAGAAATATGAAATACTCCAAAATATAAACCAATAGAATTATGCACACTTGAATTGCATTCTGGCTCTATTTATGAAATTGAATTTATGTGTTTAGAATAACCACAACATGCCCAGCAGATATTCCAGAAGCCAAAATATAGAATGCACCAATATAGGAGTGGATGTGTTTGTTGTATTGCCCACATGAATGTATACTGAATGTAAAGAAATTCATTAGGTTTGTTAATTGTCATTGACAAACTACTCACGTAGCTAGGGCTACTGCACAGGGGCCCCAAGGGACCAGGGAAATGTCAGAGTATTTATGGGTAGCATTATTGGTGAAAGGAGTTGTCAAGAAAGAAGGACGGTCAAGCTCTGTGTGGAGAGACTCAGATGCTTAAAGACTCAGTTCATCCCTAAACTGATTTTTAAAATCTGAGTAGATTCCAGTGGGTTGTATCAGTTAGTGTAACTTTATTTTCCATGGGGAAGGCTAGAATCACCATCAGCTATTTTCTGAGAAGAAGACTAGAACTCCCATTAGCTTTCCATTGCCTTTTAGGAGATATTTCCCTTCACTTTCTGTCCATGGACCAATTATGTCACCTAAACAGGATTTGAAGGAATTTTTTGAATGGGGATATACTGTTTATGGCTATGACCATATTTCCATTAAGTGAATTTTGTAGATAAAATGGGATGCTTTAGTAAAGGGTTTAACTGCATTTAAGTGAAACTGATTCAGAGTTGCTTTATTTAAGTGCTAATGGTGTCTCCATGCTCCATTAATGTTTAGATGGATCAGCTTACACGGGAACCTGGGGGATTCATGAGTAGGAAATAAAGACATAGACATATGGTGGGGAGGAATAAGAGGGGACTTGATTAGGTGCATTGGGAAAGAGAAGAATGCTGTATATTATAACCATCAACCTTGAATCGTGCATTAGACATTAGAACATTTAAGTGGGCTAATCTTCCATTGAGAGTGTTGTAGATAGATTCACTGGTTGTCCTGATAACGTAGGTTACTTCATTTTCCTGGCAGCTTTAACCCTATTACCTTACGCATATATTTGGTGACAAGACACCCTTTGGCAGCAGCATTGTCTGAAGAGGGTAGTGCTAGATGAACTTGCATACACAGCGCTGCATACATAAAGTACATTCTACCACTCGTTTCTAAATGTTCAACCTCAGATCCAGCTCGGATCTAGGTCACCGAGTGGCATATCTTCAGCAGAAATAATATAAAAAGTTAAAAATATAAGGTTGGACAGATGCTGCATTATGCAGCTATTGAGCACCAGTTAGGGCAAGATAAACAAATATACCCAAGAAAAGTTCAATATCCCCGGGTGGTGAAGGTGCATCTGCATAACCTCTCGAACACAATGTTCCCACAGATGCACCACTGTTCTGGAACTTCCTGGCCTCATAATCCTAGTAGATACTCTTGGCCAGTTGGGTCTGTCACACATATACTGCACTCAAGCTCTACAATCTATCAAGAAGAAGGATGCTAATTTATACTCAGACAAAAAAACTTAAAAAAAAAAACAGGACTGACTTAGTGGACCACTTGGTCTGTTTTCTGCCATCACACTTCTATGTTTTGATTGAAATGCGCTGCCAATGAGTCAATTGAAAAAAGTTAAAGTGTTCAGAATCCCAATATTATCAATAACCATGTAGCTCAAGTCTGCTCTATGATCAGTTAGCTTATCTAGTTTAAAGAGAATAAGGAGCTATGTTAGCATGCCATGTTTGACATTACAATTTGAACTGAAGATATAAAATAAGCAGCCACAAATGTCCCCCTTCATTAGATTGTAAGCTCGAAAGAGCAGGGCCCTCAATCCCCTCATGTTTTGCATTGTATTGGTATTGTTCTGTCACATGTTCTGTCCCCCTTTGTAATGTACAGCGCTGAGCGAACTATTGGCTCTTTATAAATACTGTATTATAATAATAATAATAATAATAATAATGGTTTTACACATCATACCAAACCAGCAGTTGCTCAGCTGTCATGATTTCCATGATTTCATATTAAGTATTCTGTGCTTCTGTTACACAACATAATAACAAGGTGATGTTTGAGCAGGCCTTTATACTCTATGGTATTATGATTGGACATAACATACAGCATATTGTCAAAAGCATTGGGACACCCCTCCAAATCATTGGATTCAGGCTTTCCAATCACCTCCATGGACACAGGTGTATAAAATCAAGCACCTAGGCATGCAGACTGCTTCTACAAACATTTGTGAAAGAATGGGTCACTCTCAGAGCTCAGGGAATTCAAGAGTGGTACCGTGATAAGTTGCCACCTGTGCAATAAGTCTATCCGTGAGTTTTCCTTGGTACTAAATATTCCACAGTCATCTGTTAGTGGTATTACAACAAAGTGGAAGCAACTGGGAATGACAGCAACTCAGCCATGAAGTGGCAGGTCACATAAAAACCCATGTAAAATGACAGAGTGGGGTCAGCGCATGCTAAAGCGCACAGTGCACAGAAGTCGCCAACTGTCTAAAGAGTCAATAGCTAAAGCTCTCCAAACTTTGTGTGGCCTTCAGATTAGCACAACAGTGCGTAGAGAGCTTCATGGAATGGGTTTCCATGGCCGACCAGCTGCATCCAAGCCTTACATCACCAACTGCAATGCTAAGCCTCAGATGCAGTAGTGTAAAGAACTCCGCCACTGGACTCTATAGCAGTGGAGACTTGTTCTCTGGAGTGACAAATCATGCTTATCTGTCTGGCAATCTGATGGCTGTGTCTAGGTTTGGTGGTTGCCAGGAGAACGGTACTTGTCTGACTGCATTGTGCCAAGTGTAAAGTTTGGTGGAGGGGGATTGTGGCGTGGGGTCGTTTTTCAGGGGTCAGGTTTGACCCTTTAGTTCCAGTGAAGGGAACTGCATACCAAGACATTTTGGACAATTTCATGCTCCCAACTTTGTGGGAACAGTTTTAGGATGGACTCTTCCTGTTCCAACATAACTACGCACCAGTGCACAAAGCAAGGTTTATAAAGACATGGATGAGTGAGTTTTGGGGTGGAGGAACTTAACTGTCCTGCAGAGTCCTGATAGAACACACCTTTGGGATGAATTAGAGCAGAGACTGTGAGCCAGGCCTTCTCTGACATTAGTACCTGACCTCACAAATGCGCTTTTGGAAGAATGGTCAAACATTACCATAGACACACTCCTAAAACATGTGGGCATCCTTCCCAGAAAAGTTGAATCTGTTATAGCTGCAAAGGGTGGGCCAACTCAATATTTAACCCTATGGACTAAGAATGGGATGCCATTAACCACTTGCCCTCCGGAAGACTTATGCCTCTTCCTGACCATGCCATTTTTTGCTATTTAGCGCTCCTCTATTTCAACAAATAATTGCGTGGTTATGCAATGCTGTACCCAAACAAAACATATGTCCTTTTTTTCACACAAATAGAGCTTTATTTTGGTGGCATTTGATCAACTCTGGGGTTTTTATTTTTTTTGTGCTAAAAACAAAAAAAGACCAAAAATTAAAAAAAACAAAAAAAAAAAAACTATTTTTTATTTATAAAAAATATATAGTACACTCAAAGTTAGTCATAAAGTTTAGGCCAAAATGTATTCTGCTGCATGCCTTTTGGTAAAAAATCCCAATAAGTGTATATTGATTGGTTTATGTGAAAGTTTCAGCATCTAAAAACTATGGTATAAATACTGGAATTTATGCCATTTTTTGCTATACGGCACTGCACTGGTTTAACTAACAATTGCGCAGTCATGGAATGCTGTACATAAATGAAGTTTATGTAGTTTTTTTCCCCACAAATAGAGCATTCTTTTGATGGTATTTGATCACCTCTGGGTTTTGTATTTTTTGTTCTATAATCAAAAAAGCCCACAAATTAAAAAAAAAAATGATATTTTCTCATTTCTGTTATAAAAAAGATCCAATTAACTCTAAGTTCGTCATACATTTAGGCCAAAATGTATTTTGCTTAATGTCTTTGGTAAAAAAAAAAAAAAAAAATCTCAATAAGTGTATATTAATTGGTTTGTGTGAAAGCTATAGTGTCTACAACTATGGTATAGATACTGGAATTTACATAGCTTTTACTTTCTGACTGCCTATCACAATTTCATGAGGTGCTAAAATGCCAGGGCAATGCAAATACCCCAAAATGACCCCTTTTCAAAAAGTAGACACCCTAAGCTATCTGTTGAGAGGCATGTTGAGTCCATGGAAGATTTATTTTTTTTGCACGTTTTTTGAAAAGTTTTCATTTCATTTTAAAGTTTTCATTTAAATGGTATATTGCTAACACATGCCATGGATATATTTGGAATTACACCCCAAAATAGATTCTGCTACTTCTCCTGAGTATATGGGGATATCATAAGTGTGAGACGTTTTGGCAGCCTAGCCACATACAGGAGCCAATGACCACTTTGAAAGCCTTATGCTGCGTAACTTCCTCATTTTACTTCCTCTGTCAGAGAAAAAGATGAGGAAGCCCAGACAGATGCTCCAATGCGCAATATGGCCACACCAATTCACGCAAAGAGGTGTGCATGAACATAGGCGGGTGACACGTAATCATGCATTCCTGTGCACAAAATCGCACCAGCACACGCAGTGTGCACTAATTGCTGACACTCAGTGGCCTTTATAAGGACTGCAGCTCTGCTCAGTGATTGCTGGATTATCGTCAGCCCCCCCCATTCCTGTGTTCCTGAGTTTACTGCTGATAACCCCTTACTGACCCGGCTTGATCCTAACCTTGTTCTAGTCTGCTGCTCTGTGTATGATCCCAGCTTGCTCCTGACCTTGCTCCTGTCTGTTGCTATTCTGTGTATGACCCCGGCTTGATCCTGACCTTGGACCTATCTGCTGTTACTCTGTGTATGACCCCAGCTTGTTCCTGACATTGCTCTTGTCTGCTGTTCCATATTGATCCTGGCTCTGGCTACTGACTACTCTACCCATCCTCTGGGATCCATGTGCTCTCTGGAGAAACTCCTCCTGCAACTGGAGCACCCACGGGTTCCATCTCATCAGGCATTTCCAAGCAGCAACACCACTGGCAACCCGTGCTTCTTTGGGCACTGCACCTCCTGTTTCCACCTCCAGGGGCGCACTGCACTTAGCCATAAGGGGAGCCATCTCTCTATTGCAGCCTCCGGTCAGGTACATGACATCATCACTACATATCACAGTTTCAGAGGCTCTGAAATTTCAGGATAACAAACCCACGCCCCACAAATGACCCCTTTTTGGAAGACTATTTGCTGAGAGGCATGTTGAGTCAATGGAATACTTTATTTTTTACCACAAGTTTGTTCAAAATGACAGTTTTTTTTTCACAAAGTTGTCACTTAACTGATATATTGCTCACACATAACCATGCGTATATGTGAAAGTAAACCCCAAAATACATTCTGCTACTTCTACCGAGTATGGGGATACCATGTGCAAGACTTTTTGGGAGCCTAGCCACATCAGGAGCCCGAAATCCAATGACCACTTTGAAAGCCTTATGGTGTGTAACTTCCTCATTTTACTTCCTCACTACCTATCACAGTTTCGGAGGCCCTGAAATGCCAGCATAACACAACTGCCCCCCAAATTACTCTTTTTGGAAAGCAGGCATGGTGAGCATTTTGCAGATCTCATTTTTTCCTCAAAATATGTTTAATTTGTGGCAACAAACGAGATCTGCAAAATATTCACCATGCCTCTTATCAAATTCCTTGGGATGTCTACTTTCCAAAAAGGGGTCATTTTTGGGAGGTTTGTACTATTCTGGCAATTAAGGGCCTCCAAAACTGTGATAGGTAGTCATGAAGTGTAATAAGAAAATAAAGCCCTTTAAAAGCCTGCAGGTGCTTATTGGATTTTGGGGTCTTGTATGCAGCTAAACCGCCAAAAAGTCTCTCACATGTGGTATCCCCATACTCGGGAAAAGTAGCAGAATGTATTTTGTGGTGTAATTCCATATATACCTGTGGCATGTGTAAGCAATATATCATTTAAATGACAACTTTGTGGAAAGAAAAAATGTTTTTGTCATTTTCCCAAAAAAGAAATTCTTCTATATTGGCTCAACATGCCTCTCAGCAAATAGTTTGGCGTGTCTACTTTTCAAAAAAAAGGTCATTTGGGGGGAGGTAGGGGATTGTTATCTTAGCAGTTTATGCCCAGAATTAGAAGCTCATACCACACATCACTCACTCTTCTAACCACTTGAAGACCAAGCCTTTTCTGACACTTTTTATTCACATGAAAAATCTGTATTTTTTTGCTAGAAAATTACTTGGAACCCCCCAAACATTATACATTTTTAAGCAGATGCCCTAGAGAATAAAATGGCGGGTGCTGCAATTTTTTACGTAACATAGTACTTGAGCAGCGATTTTTCAAACGCAAATTTTAAAAGAAAAATAGAATCACTTTTTTTCATTTTAATGTGCAAAAACACAATATATTGGCCAATTGTTTGCTAAAATATAAAAGATGATGGTATGCTGAGTAACTAGATACCAAACATAACATGCTTTAAAACTGTGCATGTCCCGTGCAAGGCCGACAAACTACATACTTTTTTAATATCCATAGGCAACACTTTAAAAGCTTTTACTGGATACCATTTTAGATTTACACAGGAGGTTTAGTGCTAGAATTACTGCCCTCAATCTGACGTTCGCAGCCATTCCTTATACTGTCCCCTTCATTTTTTTTAATCACTTTTATTGTTATTACAGGGAATGAAATATCCCCTGTGATAGCATTAGGCAGTGACAGGTATTCTTTTCTGAGAAATCTGGGGTCTCTTAGACTATAGATATCTCCTCTGCCCTTAAATCATCTGATATCACCAAGACCGGTATGATCAGATGCTTTCCCAATTTAAAATGGCACCAAATGAAACCAAAGTGATGAAATGCTTGTAACTTCTGGTTTCTTAGACTATAGATATGATTGGCTCCATTCCAGTCTCCAATCAGCTCTATGGTCAGCTGGCAGAAATGCCGGCTGCATTCTCAGGCTCCTCCATGACACGGGACTGCCCAAAAAAGTCGTGGAAGTCAGCGGGAGGGGGGCTCCTCCCGCGTCTTGTGAAAGCAATCCTGCAGCTAATTAGACTCTAGGATTTCTTTTACATGAAAGCCAATCACCAGCTGAAAAAAAACAATACCAGGATGATGCCTGCAGCTGCAGGCATCATTATGGTATAATCACTCAAAGTCCAGTGATATACCAGTACGTTGCTTGTCCTTGTTGGGTATATATGTTATGTTATTTTTCTTTATGCAGCCTGTGGGCTGAATGACAAAAAGAGGAGAAATCTCTGCCAGAAAATGTGTGTGGTATGCCCATCATTAGAATATACCGCCCTGCATCCACCCACTTCTAATGGTGGGCATAAATTAAAGGTTCTTTTTTTTTTTGTTCAGCCTGTGAGCTGAACGGAAAAAAAAACCCTAACAGATTTCTTTATTTACATTGATCGATGTGGATGAAGAAATGTCTGCCAAACAGACCACCCCAGACCCCCATGCTTGGGCTTATATGTTCTTTTTTTTTTACTGCAGATGAAAAATCTAATCCAACAGAGCTGCACACACTTACGTATATTCTG